ATAAGTATATTAGTTAAATGAAGATCATCCATGTTATTAAACTGAAAAATGAACAGATTAAATACTAAAATCAATAATTTGGTGATCAATGTTAATTAACCATATTAATTAATGGATATCAGTCAGTCAGTCATGATGATGTCGAATAAATGACGCTACTCGGATCCTGCATGCGCGTTTCGGAGACACAGCACACATCGATGGCGCGAGATTCTAAAATCCTAGCTGAGGAAGCTTGTTGTGTTATTTGGCATAATGTTCGGACGTTATAAGCTCCAACATGAAGTTTAGAGCGTGGTTTCAGGAGACCAGGAATAACGTTCCGCGTATTCGAATCGTTTGCCCTAGCGGTGCGAGGTGATAAAAGGACGTGAGAAGGGTTAGTCGGGGAGATAAGAGTGGTATCAGGAGGTGAATGGAAGAATTCGAATGTGACCGACTTGGTCTCGTGTGCTGTTACGGGTATGAGGGCTGGTGTCACTTGCCGGCTGCTCACACTGTGGAAGAATTAATGGATATAGAAAGAAGTAAATTCTCAATACAGAATTAATTTTCTCAATGAACAAATTGAATAAAAGATGTAAGAATAAATTTATTCTGTTTCATAATTTTACTTTACATTATTTCATTAAATAAACAATAATGTGTAATTTAAAATCAATAAATGAATAAATCACAGGAAACCTATTAAAGTGATTGAAGAACACATGATTGAAAAATCAGTTGGTATTTGGCACTGTGATGAGTTTTTTTGTTTGTTTTAGTGAATACAAAGGTCGATTAATACTGTTAAATCGGTTAAAAAATCTAGGTAAACTGAAATTATTCTATATTTTAGTTTTGAATGGGACTAAACTAGCTATAGCAACTATCCTACAAGAAATTTCCATTATAGCTCATTTTGATTAAGCTCTTTTATTAACATACTTAACAGACAATGTGCTATTTTAGAACAGTAATAATTCTCATATTGATTTGTACCGTTATAATCGCTACAGCATATGAAAGACTCAAGCTAAAATGTTGATTGTTTAAATCGTTATTCGATGTTCATTCTCCCCTCGCCAAGTATGTATGTACTCAAATCCTATTATTAGTCCTTGTTTTGCCTTGCTTGCGTCCTTATGCGATTTAACTATAAATTTGTCTCTGTATTTGTTCGCATACATATATATTCGCCTCTATGCTTCAAATTCGCTTGATGTGTTTGTAGCTTTGTGATCTGCGCTATCTGTCAATAGACTGTAGTTGCTGCTTCTCATTACCTTCTGATTTCAAACACCTTTGGAATTTATGTAATAATGGTTGCAAGGGTGATAGATTAGCGAAGCAAAGCCACTACATAGTTACTGATCTTCATAATAAACGATTACTTATCTGTTGGTTTCAAAGAAATATCTATGGTAATAATGATTGGTAGTTTATCTTTCAAATCATTCAAATCACCAGCACTGTCCAACCCACTTTGTCCTCGGCCTTCCTTTCTAGTTCTATACAATTTTCGTTCATTCCTTTCATGTCTGCCTCCATTTCTCGGCGTAATGTGTTCTTTGATCTTCTTCTTTTCCCTTGGCCTTGAGGATTTCATGTGAGGGCTTGCCTTGTGACGTAGTTGGGTGATTTTCTTAATGTGTATCCTATCCACTTCCAGTGCTTCTTCCTGATTTCTTCCTCCTCTGGAATCTGGTTTGTTCTGTCCCAAAGTAGGTCGTTGCTGATAGTGTCTGATCTAGTTTTTACAAAATTTTACAGGGTTAATATTGTGGATGATTGTTACATTAGTTCATATATCACACTAAAGGATACTTTCAGAGTTCTTCTCATTGCTTTAAACAATTTTGTGGAAAATTTCATCATGAATTACAAAGTCTGTATTAACAAATTAGTATGATGGAGTTTTAGGACAATAATTATGGGTTTACTCAGTTTATGTTAATAACGCTGAAGTTTTACTAGTGACGGTAACTTTTGAACTCTTTTTTTGAATTAATTTTTCCCCCAAGTCTTTATCCTTTTACGATTGGTTGCTACTACTTATAGTTTTCTAATTTTCTGTATGCCTCAAGGTTATACTTTTGCTATATCATATATACTGAATTGTACGATTTCAATTTATTCTGCTTGGTTCCACTTTAATATGTTGGTTTTTCCTATACTTCATCTCCTTCCTATGTTACTGGCAAATTGTTGAAGTGTCATGCGCCAGATGGCATCATCGAGTTCGCAACAAATCTATCCGTATTTAGTATAACTCGATCGTTTCTTAATATTTAAGTATAGCAAACCAAGAGAAAACCCAATAGACATAATCTTTTGTACAGAGCAGTCTCTTTTATTGCCATACTGCTAGCCAACGTCTAATCTTATTTAAACACAGTAATATTGATACATATCTTTTCTTATTTATCACCCACTAACGAGTTGTATAATACGATTATTCAATATGAAAAATTACTGATAGACTGCACAGTAGTCTTAATAGCTACCGAAAATGACCGACCGGCATGCTATGGATGGCAGATAAGAACTTCGCTTTATTCTGTTAGATTATTAGACTTAAAACTCACCCAATGAAAACTTACGATGCATCACAATTAATTAATAGCAACTTTTGGACATCCGAAACTACGGCTACACTTAATGCGTTGAATATGATGTAATAAATCAAATATTTATTAACTACACAACAAAATGTATGTATACTGATTCACTGGACAACATATTTCAGATTTTTTCCGTCTTCATTTATTCTTCTACAACTAAAAACATTTATAGTTGTGCACCATGAATCAGGTGACAATCTAGCATGAAATTCCGGACTGTAGCTGGCATTAAAATTCGGAACGTGTCTCGTCCTACTTGGGACATGTTAGTTCTATGTATTTGTATCTAATAGTTGTTCACTCCAAGATTCGAACCTAGTACTTTCCACTTCAAACCCGAAAACGCGCTATCTCTTCACTGTGTATTTTCTCTAAAAAAGCCACAAAATGACTATATCTTGGTGATTTGAACAGAATACATATATGCCATTTGAGACCGATCAAATTCCAACCAAATTATTATCAATAGGATAACTCAAAAACTCTTACAAATTAAATTAGCATAAAATTATATATTCTACAACAGTATTCGTATTTCCAATAGGCAATAACGTAACCTATGATCTTTGACAAATCCCACGAGAACCTTAAGTATTGTTTTATAGTTTGCATCACGAGTCAAATTTCACTGGACAAATGAAAACAGATATCCACTGTTTCCTAGTTTTTCAGTGGTTAACATCCAAAATAACAGAATTTCCATTTTATGCATTCGTTCAAAGTTATTTTATCCCACCCTCTGTGGCTTGATGTGTTCAATACAGAAGAGTGCTAAAGTATAGTAAGTAAATCGTTCGGTACTCACTATTCACATAATAGACCGATCTTAATTAGATTATCAACAAACATTGGACACCTATTTCTTCTTATTATCGAACTCTTTAGTGGTGCTCATCTAAACCCCACTCAGAGTTTAAACTAAGACTTCCAAAACTCAAGGTGAGTGCTTGACCTTTAAACAGTTAAACTGGCATTCAATGATTTACATATAGTACTTTAATCGGTTCGTGATACTGCATGACATTCTTATCTGATACCTGTTTACGGTAAAGATTCATTACAACTTTTGGAAAAAAATCACTCACTTCTAAGTATACAATAAAAGACATTTTAAACGTTTTATTTAATGTTTAAATATTTCAGTGTTGGTTTTACTGTTTTTAAAAGTCTGAACTACCCGGTTGTTTATCATTCAGAGATGAATTATTGATCACTCTTTGTTGGCATATGTTTACCCTATTTGGATACCCATTTGTCACAAGTTATTTAGAATAGCCCTAACAAGTTAAGGCTTACGTTTGCTCAGTGGCTAAATGGATAGTACGCTGACATCTAATAATAATTTATTATTATATATATATATAATGATGTGAAAATCGACGCTAGGATGCAAATATGCCCAAGTGATGAGTATCAGTTAGGATGAAACGCGGATCCAGGATTTGGCGGTTTATCCATTTTGCAAAGTATAATATTGGTTACGTTTTTTGATTTGATACTGAAGGATTCAGATGGTTTGGTACAACAAAAACAGCGAACGCAACATATATAATCGGCATTTATAACGTGGTAATTTTCAAGAAACTATCAAATTCATACATTTTAATAGTAGATAACTTCAAGTCGGTGAAATCAGAAGTTGGAGTATGAATGTTAGTAGTATAATTTGTCATATTTCATTTCATTAGAATTTTGAACAGTTTAGATTAACTCCTTTTTCTTGTTCTATAAGTTATTTTATTGTAAACACATATTGAGAGCCAATTAAGAATACCATCTAAATCACAGTCTATAAATCAATATACTTTAATCCATTCATTTGAATTACAAAAGACTAAATTGCATTGAAGAGGCAGGTCGTTTTCGAACCATGACTTAGTGATACCTGCATTTTGCCTTATTGATCACAAAAATGAATATTTCATTCATTCAGCCCATATGGCATATGATTGGTCAAAGAATAAAGACAGCATATCCAGTTCACCATTTGTTTATATTGTAATATATACTTCTACCTTCTGCCCCTTTTATTAATAAACACTTTCTCTTATCTGTATCTAATTCTCTACGGAATAACGGATTTATTGAATGCGAGTGTATGACATCAACTAGCAACCTTATAGCATAAATGAATCTACTTGCATCCTGATTTTCTATTTCAATTCTTATCGTGGATTAAATTCAGAATTCATTACTTGAAAGGAATGAAATGTCATGACATTTACAATAGAAAGTTACATTAATTAAATCGTGGAAACAAAATTTTAAAAAAATGAGAAAGATCAGAGAGTTTCTTGATAGCGTTAATTAATTCTGTAAGAACAAAGGCGGAACATTTTTGTTTTGCAAGCCTTAAGTAAATGTTCAATTTGATTAAATGTTGGAAAACGGTTAAATTCATCGCAGGCAATTTGAACATGTTTTTTCACATTTGATAGAAATCAGCTCATCTGTTTAATAATGAAGATAACAATCAATAAAGAATGCAAAATAGATACGTATATGTTTCATAAGTGACTTTCTTGGTTGAGATGTTGTCAAATAGACTGTATTCACCCATAAATGTTAGTCTCTTCAGATTTCAGTTATCTAAGTTGTTAATAAGAAGTAAATATTAATTAGTGTAGACATTCAAGTCCTACACAATGTTAAGACGTCTTGGATAGCTAAGTGATAACAGTTCATTCTATGACATTTGGGGGAAATGGGTCCAAGTCCATGATAAAGTGTATGTTAACCTAAAATTTCAAATGCACCTTGTAAATAAGTTGTGGCTGCTGTGAAACCTAGGTTAGGTTGATTTTCTTCAATCATCCAACCTCAACTAATGAAGAAGAAACAATATCTCATGGTAAACAGTTATCTCAATATGACAGTAATCAAGTACTAAATGTATTATGAAGTTAACTTATTTAAAATTCTCAAATTTAAATATCGTTTTTCAGTTTCATATGGGGGACGTAAAGCGGAGTTTCATCAAGAAAAGATATAAATGAAAGAATCATTTTGCATTAATGAATACCGAAATACTTTTCAAATCGGATATGACTAGAAATCTTAAGAATAACCTTATTTTGAGTTAACTATAAGTGATCTTCTCCAATAGATAGTTGATCCAAGGACATGTTAACGAGAACCTGGCGTGAGAACTACCTCAGTGTGTATCTATCAGAATGTTTCCTTCTATGGAGTACGTTATGTTGGCCAAACATAACTTGCCTTTTCTAAATAGATATCTGAATCCTATTTAGCATAGTTATCTAAAGACGAATTCAAATAACTCAATCGTTGTGTTGTTGAAAGTTTGGTCAACTCCGATCATCTGTCTCTATACAAACTTCAAAAATTATCGATAAAACCAAACGGCTTAGGAAAATCTGTAAAGAATTAGTGAATAGCTGAGGTTCTAACAATTCATCAATCTAACCTTGATGTCTGTGTTTAGATGTTATGTGTACAGTACTTCGTTCTTCCGTGGTCCCAGCGCCCAGTCGTTAGATTTCAATAATTCTGTAAGATTATCTGACATGTATATTCATCACTTCTTTACACTTATCAAATGAGCAGTTATCTTAAGTATACCCTGCAAATTGTTACTTCGAATAGCTTAGCAGCAATATATTGGTCTGTAAAACTTAGTGAAATAAGTTCAAATCATAAAAGGAGCATCAGTCCCCTTAAGATCGGAGGTGATCCATGCTAACTAATAAGACAAAAGCTAGGTACAGAGTTTCCTGTTGACTACCACCAACTACCTAACATCAAATGAGAATATTTTAAATTAATAATTTCTCAATTCTTTTATGATTTAACAATTTTCTGCTAAATGCTAATTAACTATAAATACCAGTGTGTAACTTTAACAAATGTAATCATCGAATAGTCGGTTTTCTTCACTGAACTGCCTTTATTAAACTTGATTATGTAACAGGTATCATTCATTGTTATAAAATATATTTCATTGAATATAATAATTTTTTATGGAAAAATGATAATGATGATAATAATAATAAATTCAATAAACAAAGTTTTTTCTACAATATTCTTCCCATTTGGTTAACATTGGTGTTATCGTTGTCATTATCAGTGTTGTCATCTCATTGTTGCTTCAACCTTCAAAACACCTTCACTGCAACTGAGTTGATCTTACTTTGTAATTCCTTGACAAAATCACTTAATGTTGTTTCATTTTCTTCTGATAAATCCACATGAATCATATCGAATCTTTGAGGTGACTGTGGTCGAATTAAACTTCCTCCATACTACAGAAAGGTAACGAAGCAAAAGAAAGACTAAGGAGTAGTGAAAAACGTATATAATGAGCAAAATGTCCAACCGATAAATTCTGATGCTCATCAGTATACATATGAAGTAAGATTTCATGACTGAGTTTGAAACACTGGGTTAACCAGAAATCGGCTAAATGATAGATGTACACGACTGAACAAGAATTGGCTTACATTCCCTAGAAGTGAGACATTCATCAATGATGGCCCAAATTTCTTAGGGGAGGATATATATATATATATATATATATATATATATATATATATATATATATATATATATATATATATATATATACATGGGTATACATACATGACTATTCGGTTGTTCAATAAAAATCCTTTCTCAATGTTGGTTGCTTCACTCGACTAATCAGTTAGGCTAGTACATAGGAGGATTCCGTATCAGTCTCGACATCAGATGTCACATGTCTCAACAAAACGTTTTGTCGTTGAAAGTAAATAAAATGGGATGATACTATGTGGCCTTGTGATAGCTACTCATAAGACCAAGTTATTGATACAAGCCATCAACTAAACAGATATTAGAAAACAAGACCCATAGTTATAACAATTAAATATTTGTATCTAGTAAACTTGTGCATAAAATGTTTACAAGTAAATAAAATGATTAGTTATTATAGACGATTAGACAAAATCGATTTGTAGGTCACTTATTCTTCAAAGGATAAGTGCCTAACTGTTAAGTTTAATTCTTGCCCTATCATATATTATCGTAACTTCATTAGGCTTACATACTACTGTTCATTTGATTTGAGTTTGTCTAATGTGGTAAACCAAATGTTTACAATTTAAACTCTTGTGAATTTAGTACTCTTAGTTTTTGTACAGACTAGAGAATAGGACTACAACAATAGTATACATTCCAATAGTAGCCATCTCAAGGGGATCGTGAGGATTTTTAATGGACAAAAATTATGTTGTTATAGAAATTATAAGAAAAGTTTCTAAAATTGGTCATTAAAGTGACTAATTAATCGAGTTCTAAGATTTACTGGACGTTCTCAAAAGGATTGACTGTTTTAAACGTATATGAAACCTTTCTCAGAATCACAGAAGTTTTTAAAACATTTATTATTCTGATTTCTTAAAAAAAACTCTCCGTAGTGACTGTTTAATATTACTGTGTTATATCCCGATAAGAATAATGAATGGTAACTTTTGGGATCCATTTATAGACCAATACTATGCGTATATTTTTATCGTATAATTGTTAAATAACCAAACTATTCATACTCATATCCCTCTTGTTATAAGCTTTATCTTGATCTATGAACTATTATTATACGACTTACTATTCTTGAGTTATGCCCTGTCCATCAATTACTATCTCCCTTATTTACAACCACATTTGGCTAAATCTTGTACAAATGTTGTTTCCTATTTTATGGTACGGTGTGGTCTGTCTTGTTGGTATATAAACCCAGTATGTTTGAAATACATAATTCATATCACAGAGGCTGAGATTGGTGTTCTGGACTTAACTGGCTGGGCTAAGCAGGAAGCAGGACTGATAAGTACTCTAGATTGCTCGCACGGGTTTTGTGCGTCATTGGTCCGATCGATAAGTTACTGTTCTCTAATCGGCGGTATTATCACGTTATATATTAACAGGGCACACAGGCCACAAGTTATAACACTGTGACAAGTTAGTAATTATTTCTAGTTAAAATAATAACAGAAGTATACAAAAGTTACATGATACTACTTTGAACGTAACAGTCGCTTATAGAAAGGTCGACAAAAGCAATAGATCAACTGTTCTTTTCTATACGTTCTTTTCAATATTCAATTACAAGAAATGAAATGAAAATGCCATATATCAATCTATTCTAGAATGATTGCAATTTGTATAATATAATAATTAATAAACAATTTCAATAACGTATTCCATGAGAGATAAATGATGAATGTGGATCTATTTCATGTATGAGTCCTCACAGCTAAATAAACTGAAATATAAACAAAACATCCTATTCAAAAATTCTTAGTTTTCATTATTTCTTCAACTGATAATAATCTGTCATAAAAATCACCTTTAAAATTATTCATTAAATAGATTCATGGAGATTATTAAGTTAATTATTATAATTAGTACTTGAACAACAAACATATTAATTACGGCGAATTTGTTACTTGTCAGTAGTAACTGAATCCCTAATATTAAAAATTATGTCAATGTAAAGTATCAACAGAGAATGAACTACATTCGGCTTTATTATAATGTTATTTGTTAGTGTTGGGGTTTGAGTAGGTTTGATAAAGTCATAATTATCAGAATGGGTTTTGTGGAGATTTTTAGAAATTTCACAAGTTGGAATCATGAGCCAATTGAAGCTAGACCACCATAGGAAACCTGGAAGCACTGGACGGCCGTTTCGTCCTAGCATGAGACTCCTCAGCAGTGCGCATCCGCTAACCCGACCCCGCGGGATTCGAACCCAGGACCTATCAGTCTCGCGCCAGGCGCTTAACCAACTAGACCACTGAGCCGGCATCCGGCGGTGTTAATGTCTAACTTCAACCAATCCACAAAGTTGCGCCACCGTACACCATTGTCTTCAGTGAGTTGTTATCTCACAACAGACCTGGTTGAACTCCACTGGTAACGACTTCTCACTAGAACTCATAATTTATATCAAGTACTGACCTTGATAAGACAACCACTGACAAATAAGTGGTAGTGGATAGCTGTTTCATCCTAGCCTGGGAATACCCAACCCATCCACAATCCTACCAATGATAGGACCGAGAACCTTTCGATTTTTCAGTCGCTCTATACTTCCATGAATAAGTTATCCAGTGTTTCATGATTATGAATGGTTGCCTGACTAAGATTAGTCCGTAATGTAAACGGTAAGGTTGTTGTTTCTATTCATATTTTTCTAACTATATAAGCTCAAATACTTCCAAAGATTATTAAGTTATCAATCACTTAATAATCAATGGATATAAAAAAGAATTATGAGGATTGATAAAGTTATTTGGAAGAATTTATTGTAGTGTAGTTTATTTCAGTTTTATAGACGTAAGACTGTCTGATTCTTAAGCTCAGATGAACAATAAAGAAAAGGTTTTATTGTTTATTTTGATATCCGTGGTTCTAAACTTGGAAATGTGAACTACTGTAATTCCCACGATGAGAGGTGAAAACTCAAAGATTGGTCCAATGAAGATTTATTGACTTTTCAAAAACACGACGTTGTTAAACCGAAAACACACACTTGATGGTTAGTGAATTAATGTTATATAAATAAAAAGATACACAATGTTACTGTAAAATACATAGGAAATTCGAGATAGTGGAGATCTGTAGCCCAGGTGGATGATTTTGATGGAGTTTTGTTCTCTGAGCTCGATGGTTTGGTCGTGGAGCTTTCATCGTTCTTATGAACGACATCATCAGCACAAACTTCAGAAGTTTGTGCTGATGAGATGCTCAGAGAACAAAACTCCATCAAAAACAGGAAATTCACACAGAATAATACAAAGAGTGTAATTGTCACACTAGGTAAAAGTTTACACCGGACATACTAAACAAAATTCTCACTTGATCGATACGAAACACATAGACCTGAAATAATGTTACACTAGAGACTACAAACTCCATATCTTACTGATTAAAATGTTACACTGAAAATAAAACGAATGTCAAACTATCACACTGTGAATTTAAACCAATGTCATAAGACTTTATAATGAGTTAGAGAAAACCCGTAAACTTGACTTCTTATCCAGGTTTATAACCCATATACTTCAAAACAAAACACGTTAAACGTTACTAAAGTGATAGGGAACTACTTGGTAACATTAAAAGAATTAAAGTCAACTATTTTACGTATCTCAAACACTAGTGAATAAATATAGCGGCCATATAATAAATCGCATAAGTTTTAACAATGTGTGAATATTATACACAGGAATCCCTGACGTGATGGTGGATACCCACTCCTGAGGTATCCTCCACTAGGACAAAGCAACTCTTGGGTTATTGCAAATTTTCGATTAAAACATAACAAGTCCTAAACTATCACAAATACCAACTATTAAAAGCAGTTTATAAAGAATGTATAAACAAAATATAACAAAGTTGTCTATGAGAAAACACATTAGTTTCATATATTTGTTGTTTTTAAATGAGTGGAAAAAATTATGAGGAAACAGGGAGAATAATTCTACCAAATGTATGTTCATATACATTTAGATGAGGATGTTGGCGAGTTCAATCACTAACTGTCGTACATAAATACAATAGTAACAAATTCAACCTTTGAAAAGGCCTTATGAATATGATTTTGAAAAACAACAAAATTCTTAAAAAAATGTATTAAGTGAAAATCAGATGGTAGATATTTCTTTTTGCCTACACTCAATCTTCTCAAAACAAAACCCATACACTTTCTAGAATCCAATTCATAGATAGAAATTTGAGTTCATATGTTTATTTAATGACTCCATGTCAGTTATATATATAATTTGAAAAACCATTGAGAACCAAGACCAGTTGTTTCATCCATGGTTATAAAATCGAAACAATGTATAACCATGACACTAAGTAACAATACACTCAGGAACGTTTAACCTTGCAGCCGGGCATCAGATGATGTTTACCGTTTTGTGATTTGAAGTGTCGTTCACATCTAGGAAAAGACTGAAATTAGACATTAAGAATCTTGGATAATGGGTTACTGGCAGGAAAGTTGGGTGCTCGCTGTGAGATCTGAGAGTCTTGAGTTCAGTCTTCAGTGGGATAAACTAGTGAGAAGTCTTATATTATAATAAAACGGATATCCAGTGCTTCCTGGTTTCTCAGTGGTTGTAGAATTAGGATCGATTAGTGCTGTGAAGTATATAATTACTCAGTATCCTCCCTCCATTTTCCTCCAATTTTCATTGCTTCTCTTAGTGATGTCAGTTTGGATCGTAAAAGCCTATTGACAAAATCACTGAAGTAA